GTCAGGTAGCTCCGGAGCTTGCAGTAGTCTGTCGGGGGGACTCGGTGATTAAGTTGCGACTATGCAAATATGCTTTGGGGGCAGAAAATTGTTCAGTTGTAAAGGGCCATGCCCCGCGATATCGAACCTTAATCATGGGGGACGGACGACAAGGCGACTCGAGGTTGAGGAGAGGACCGACTGACCAGCGGCGGAGGTGATTTTTCCACGGCTTATTTCCGTCCTTCAGCTTGTGGGACTCTATCTGTAACATGCCTCGCAGTCGAGCAAGACGTCTTTCTCGGTGGCTCGGAAAGCGGGTGAAGGAAGAGCTGAGGCACGGCTGTTGCCGAAGTGGGAGGTGGCCAAGGGACTCTCTGCCTCGGTGGATAGTGGAGCGTTCTCCGTACTGTAGTGTAAGTACCTTACTCCAGACTCGGTACGGAGTATGTGATAAGACATGGTCTGTTGAATAAGGTCTCGTGGGCAGCCAGGCAGTTTGGCAGTGTCTTGACGGGTACACACGGGCAGCTTGCTTTTTGGTCATGCAGCCCCAGGATTGCGATTAATAGCCGAGTTGGAGACGGCCAGAGAAAACCGTGACGGGTCCATTGCCGGCCGAGGCGTGAGACATTGACAAGGTCCAAAGAGACAAAGATCTACTCGATCGGCGATTTACGGGAGCGAGAGACCCAACGACGGCCGACGGCACGAGACGGGCGCGGCTGGATGACTCGAGCGCCTTGTCTGTCGTATTGCAAAACTGTAGGTCGAAGTAATTGGAGAGGGCCGTTGGATCATGGGATGTCATGGGCGTCAGCGAGCCTCTAGCAGCAGCAAAGCGACGGCGGGTCTTGTCCGTGGTTTGTGTTCCCTCAGCGGTAAGCATAGGTCCGAGATGCTCAAGGAGAGATTGAGTCTCTGTGCCACCCTTGCTCGTCACCAGTCCTAAGCGCGTTCAGTGGTTTCCAGGGTCCGAATTGCGAAAAGCAGTGTCAGATGAGGCTCCAGATGCAGATCCAGACGCAGAGGAGACCGGAGCGGGAATTGAGGGCGGGTTGATCCAGAGCATGGGGGCCCAGAGTGCGTGTACGAATAAAGCAAGAGTTCCTCGGCTTGGCGTGCGATACCTGACAGAGTCAACAGGGCTCGTACGGTCCGATAATTGCCGGGATACTTCTGGGCAGAGTCTTGGTCGAAATGCAGCTCGGTCAATGGCCGTTGGGGAGGGAAAAGAGGAGGAAACTTGTCGTCAGGATGGAGTCCGGGTCCGACGAGATTGACACGAGATTGACGGGACGGCTGCTGGTTGTGGCTTTTGTGGTTGCTGCAAAAGGCTGCATGATGCTTGCTGCTGTCTCTGTTTAGGGTGCTGATGGGTGACACGACAGGCAGGATTGGATGCGCTGAATGGATAGGATCAACGCCAGCGACAGCCCAGCGGAATTGAGGTGAAGGGAGCATCAAGCCCAAGTCCAATCAGAGCCCCGGGTGGCGGTTGACCCAGCCGCAACTCTTCCGTTGGAACCAGTCGACGACTCCTGTGGCATTGTCTCGTAATGAGCATGCATCGTTGGTAGGCGCAAACATTCGACACGGGGCCTTTCCTTTGCGTTGCAGCAGGGGATGGGGTAGAAACGAAGTTGTCGTGAGAGGCTGCCGTGGCTTCGGAGAGTCAGGTACAGAACGGAGTTGTCTCCGGGGGGGAAGGAAGCAAGGCACACTACCGGCGAGACGCGGCGAGACGAGACGAGACGAGACGAGATGGATCATGGAGACGACGGGGAGGAAAGTACATACTCTCAAGTACCTAGCTGCCTGCGGTATCTTATTACCTTACAAACGGTAAAGGAAGGCGCGAGGAGGACAAGTGGAAGAAGGCACACAGCAAGCAGTGCTTTCCAACCGTGCCAACATTACCTGGAAGGTAGCTTATCCGTAGGCTGTCCACCCCACCTTCCCTTCATCTTCGCCATCCACGTCCTCTGCCAACTTCGAGGAAGGAAGGGTCCTAACAGCAGCCCCACAGTGCGGAGGGGCTCCTGCTTGATCACGGACAATCATTCACTTCAGCGCTTGCCATTCGTACAGGCAAGGGAGGAGGCAGGCAGGTGCAAGGTATTGGAGCTGCCTGCTGGGGAAAGAAAGGTAGGGGCAGGCGCAGGCAGGGGGCAAGGGCGGCCCATACCAGACCAGGGCTCCTTCTCCAGGGCCAGTGGTGTCTGCACCGAGTGGCCTCCACTGTCTGATTGACTGTGGAACCCCCCATCGACAGCGGCTGACAGTGGGGCAGATTGGTGTTGGAGTCGCAGCCGAGTGCGCCAGGTGCACAGTGCATCGTCGCAAGAGACGCTGCCCTGCTGCCTTGCTGTCAGTGGCAGGGCGGGAAGGAAGACAGCGGAAGGGAACGCACGCACGCATGTAAATCTCTGCGATCGACTCTCGAGACGGGAGGTCACGGTTACCCGTTGGAGACTGCCTGCTGGGTGCTGAACTGGGCTGGCAACGGTCGCAAGCACGGGCGCATAGGTAAATGCCTTAGGTACCTTGCCCAAGGCATTCACCACGAAAGGCATGCGCCACGGAAGCTGCGGGAGAATCAATGGACAAGGACTGGGATGGGAAACACTTCAGGAGGCACTCGGGGCAATTGGAACATCCGCTACCAATGAATTATACTCGGAACTAACAGAAAAGAGCGAGAGAAGAGGAAGCAAACATTGGCACCGGCCCAGGCTGACAGGAAATAAGAAGACGATGGGCGCATCTGCACTTTCCCATCCGGGTTACAGAAGGAACCTCAGGTGTCGATCCAACCTATGGAAGTCATGGAGATAGTACGTATCGGAACTTTATGGCACCGGCCTGCCTAAGCCATCTCAGGAAGGCGCAACCTGACCCGACCTCACCTCACCTCGATCCAAGTGTGAGCAGAGGCTGGGACCTGTCTCGCGAATGGAAGAATGGTAGAAGGCGCATAGAACAACTGGAGCGGCGGGAGGGCAAGAACGGAACGCAGCACCGACGATGGAAAGGGGAGGAGCCGATGCGGGAAGCTGGAACCACCGCAGTTTCCTCGCCTCGCCAGCCGATGCTTTGCTTTGGCGAGAGATGAAGAAAAAAAATTCTTCCATGGGTTTCTCTCTGGTGCAGCAGCAGCAACAACACAACGTGCATCGTCACCTCGCCATTGACAAGTCACGTCACTCCCCGTCTTGCCTCTGTCCCCATCTGGGAGCTCCTCTCCTGTCCTCTCCATTCCCAAGGGATTCCTGTCTCCTGGCAGCTGCATCGCTACGGCGCAGCCCTTTCTTCCTGCACCATTCTGCCCCTCTATTCGTACATCTCTCTCTCACTCTCGCTCCTCTCCCCGCCGTCTTAGCTTCAAATGCTTCAATGGATTGTGGGATCAGGGTCGCCCGTCGGCCGGCGCACCCAGGCAACCGGCCACAGGATAGCAATACCTACAGCATACAGCATACAGGATACCGCATACCGCATACCAGACAACAGTCACCAACCACGCACCTGGACCACACAGGACACAGCATCGCGTCCGAAGGGCCCGCAAACCGCTCCGCAATGTACATGTTCAACTTGTTGCCCGCTCTGCACCTCAGTGTCCCCTCCCGCACCACCGCCAAACTAACTCACCTCAGCACGCTACGGAGTAGATCCTCGCTCTAATTAAAGTGCCTTCCCACCGACACCGAGAGACTGACTCCAGCCTGCACTCTAATCACGGGGTCAAAGCTCGCCATTGTCGTTCGATTATTCCATATTGAACTCTGTCCGACGGAGACTCGGCCACTGACGGCCGCCACGGCACGGCGTCTACGGTCTTGTCTTGTCTTGCCCATGCTCCCTCCCAATTCCCAAGTCTATTCCCGACGAACCCCCAACGCAACGACCACGACCCCGACTGTTGATCCTGGCACATTTCCTGACCTCGACATCCTGGCCTAGTTTCCGACGGCTGTCGACAGCCCCAGTTCCTCCAGCCCAGAAGCAGCCAATGCAAGCCAGCCCGGCGCGGCGCATTGCAGTGACAACTCGACACGACGCGATGACAACGCAAAAATACTCTGCGCCTACGCCTGCGTCCACCCTGCCAGAGAGACACAGAGCAGACCTTTGGAGGGAGACTCAAGCCGACCGAGAGAAGTTTCAGGTTCCAATGACGCGGATCCTGCCCTTGACTCGACCAACGAAAGCCCTCCCAACTTCTAGCAAGAGCAGATCAATGCATCGCCAGCAACAGCCTGCCTTGCCTCGCCTTGCCTTAACTTCCAGGTTGCTTGAAGGAGTCAATACCTACTGTTGTCAGGATGAGGTCTGTCAGATCTCTCATCCAGACCGCGCTCCACCGAGCCGGCCATGTGTCTCTGCCCAAGGGCAGTACCAATCATGCAGAGCTCAGGCACTTGCGACAGATTCTCCGACCTACCCAGTTGTAGCAGCCAACCTAGCGGCTGCACACCGCAGGCGTCTCCGTGGTTGGCTGTTGGTCGGACGGAATGGATCGAGAAAAGAACAGACGCATTGAATCCACCGGCCGATCCCTTCTGCCCATTCAACATCCACCGCACTCCCACGGCACGGCATTTGGGACGAGGCGACGACGAGACGACAGATCTTCCGGCACCGCCTAAACCTTCATCTATCCTTCTGACTGGTCGACTGCTGCTTGCCAGTGCCGTCCGTCACACACACCGTCACCTCAAACATGGCAACCATTATCATCGTCATCACCACCGCCCTTCACCGCACCATCGGCCGTGATCCATCCCACCCTCCGTGAACAAGATTCCGCCCACAAGATCAGGCACACTGGCCTTGGTACCTACGCCGCTTGCTGCTGCTCGGGCGACTCACACGCTCCCAACACGCACCACGCCCACCGCAGTCGAGAGACTCCGGAGAAGCTGAGCTCAGAGGAGTCAATCGTCTTTCCGAATCAGGCCGCCTGCATATGCACCAGACAGGCCTTAGAAGCGTGACCCTCTCTGCTAGAACCCACCATGATATCATGGTACAGCCAGCCTCTGCTACGCACTGCTCAGCACCACTGTTCCGACACATACGAACAAGTACCGGCCAACATTGACTCGTTTTGTGCCCGAAATGGAGCGCGCTACCACCGCGATTCCGCGAACCGAATCCTCGACGCTGGAGATTTTCAGCAAATCGAGACAAATCAAGACATGGCAACTTCAAAGTCCTTGACCCTCACCTTTGACCCTTTCTCCGAGTCCCGCTCGCTACCTCTGCCTCTGGAGTCGCCATCTCCTCTTTCCCCCACACGTCCTCGACACGACGCGACACGATACGATGCAACCTCCTTGTCTTACACCGTCAACGTTGTTCGCTTCGCCGTCTTTGGTCACGTCGTCCGTCGTTCAATGGCCCAAGAAACGCCGCAGCGCCGAACCATCCCTGTGGCGATGGCGCGACAGCCTCATCGTGGTCCTTGATGCGGATACTACCTGTCTTCCCTACGCATATGACCCATGAGTCGTGATTCAGGGTCGGCCATGGCTCATTTCTCTCATGTCTGCATCTCATCATCATGGTTGAGCAGGGCTCATCTCGCCGTGCACGCATCGCATCCATGCCCCATCGACATGCCATGTCTCTTTCTAACTTGAACCAAGCACTGCACCGCACGCTATTCGTACCCTCACCCTCCTCCTCACCTTGACCTCTCCCACTTTCGGTGGAGTCTCCGCGCTGCAACGCTCTTTCGAGCATGACTTGGATTGGGGGGTGCGCACAGTCCATCTTCTGGCTAAGATGATCCTTGTTAATAACAGAAGAAATTCTACGACGGCGAATCACAATGCCTCTGGACATCGTGGGGATGTGTCGTGCGGGTAGCGACCTAGGGTACATGACGGTACCTCGCTGTCACTGGCAGGGATAGTCGGCCATTCGACGCTAGCAACGACCAGGGCTGATGAACGGCAAGGGTACGGACTGGAGACGACCGGAGGCAGAGGGGCCTGAGGAAGAGGAGCGGGCTGGTCGCAGGAGCAAACAGGACAATGACCAGAGGCATCCATCGTGTCTCCTTCGCTCACTTGCTCGCTCGCCCGACTCGACCCTCTCTCACTCGACAGATCAGAAGAGGCACCGCAACGCATCGTACCGCACCACTGCATCGCAAGTGGGGAGATGTCGCCAAGGTCCCAAAAATCCACAGTGCCCATCCACCATCGACGACAGCCAAGCTGACAGCAATTCCGCTCTGCTTTCGCTCCCTCTTTTTCTTGTCCCATATACAAGTGCTACCGGGCTGGCACTGGAGTTTTTATTAGCATCATCTACCTCACGGCACCGACGGCACAACAGCACCTGTTTGGTCTGGGGGCGGAGGAGCAGACGGGGTGGTCTGCTCTTGGCACAGTCGGTACGACGTGAGACCTCACCTCACATCCCACACCGTTCTTATCCGCCCATGTCCATCTACTATGTATCGTATGGGAAACAATACTCCCCTCCAACTCGCCGTCGTGCACACCTTGCATGTGGGGAGCTAAGGTGCTAGGGGACCTTTAGTGCGTGTGGGAGAAACATCGATTCTCTGCACGTCGTCCTCGCTCCTCCAGACAGACCCTGTCGCTGTCGAGACTTCCCACCCACTAGCAGCGCAGCTATCTGCAGATATGTATGTGCATATCCCGCCCCTCGAAAGCGGTTGGCCCATGTCCTGTCGTCCAACGACCCTCATCCTCTCTCTCCCACCTTGTCTCGACGGCAAGCTGGTTTCCAAATAAGACCCAGCGATCATCTCTCCACCCTCTTCAGCCCCTCCATTCCACGACGGCTCCTCAGTGATCAGCCTTTCCCTTCTTCTTGAGCGGTCCGCCACGTCTTGATCTTCAACAACTTCGCCGACCTCGATATCCTGTCGTCTGTTGGTCTGCCCCTTCGAATCCGTTGTCGACTTGGTAGGCCACTTCTGCCACCTGCCTCCCCACCTCGTCTCCGAGGATATCCTATGGCCTTCTGGTCTTGATATCTGACTGGACTGCCCAGCTCCCGATCACCCGCCACCGCCTCGTCTGTCCACATACACGGCCGACTGGCACCGCAACCTTTATTTTGGTCCTTTCTGTGTTGGCATGGTCTCGTTATTGACGAGCCATGGATTCGAATGTTTTGCCAGTCGTGTCGGATGAAGGAGATATCTCTTGGTCGGATAACCACAGCAATTCTTCAGACGACAACATGAACGACAACATACTCTACCCACACTCGCCTCCCTCCCAAGCTGCGGCTTGGATGAACGCCACCACTACTCACTCGCACACTGGTCAGCTGTCTCCCATCAGCACCGGCATGGACAACACAGCGATGGACCATTCTTGCGCCCCGACAATGGTACACTCCGCATCCTCGTCTTGCACTGATTCCTGGAGCACCGCCCACGCTGATGCCTTCGACGGAGACGACGCTGACAACGATGTCGTATGGGAACAGGGCTCGGACGACATACTTACTGTACCCAAACTCGAACCACTTGACGATGATTTCAAGTTAGATGATGTAAAGGAAGCACCGCTCAACGCAGCAGAGTCCTCGTTGATCTCACCTACCACTACCCAACCGAAGCAGAAGCGACCCAGGGGTCGACCTCGCAAGCACCCTTTGGCGCCCGTTGTGAACCCAAGCAAGGTTACCAAGGGAAGATCCAAGACTGGGTGCATTACTTGTCGAAGGAGAAAGAAGAAGTGTGACGAAGCCAAGCCAAGATGTGAGTAAACTGATCGATATGTTGAGGGGCTAGCTAATGTCATGGCAGGCATGAACTGCGAAAAGAACGCCGTCGTCTGCGAGGGCTACCACGAGAAGAAGCTTTGGAGAAGCGGCAAGGAGAAGGCCTGTGATGGTGAGTGTCACTGATTGCCCTGGCTTTTATCGACACTAACAACCTCAAAGATCGCGTCGAAGACTCGGTCGTTTTCACTATGCAGCCCCTGTTCAACGGCGTCGACACCACTGAAGACAAGATCTTCTGGAGACACTATGGCGTTCACCTCAGCAATGTACTCACTGTGGAGGGCGAGGCAAAGAACGCCTTCAAAGACATTATTTTACCGCTGGCAAACCTCCACCAAGGTGTGATGCATTCGGTTCTTGCCATGAGCAGCAAGCACATCGACTTCGACACGCCCTATGGTGCCAAGTTGCTCCAGCAAAACCCAACAACCAGCCGCGAGGCACTCCAGGAAAGATCTGACTATCACCACAACAAGGCGATGGAATCATTCTATGCCGACATTCGTCGCTCCGAGGAGGAGAACGCTGATGGGCAGACCATATCCACTGCTCGTTTCGCCCAAATGCTCTGTCTTCTGGTCACCACCCTGATTGAAGGCAACCCTCATGGTGAACACAGGGTTCATCTCCGAGGGTACAAGGAGCTTATCCAGCAGACGCCCCCGGAAGACACGGTCTTTCTCAGCTTCATCCAGGAGTTCTTCCAATATCATATCTACGCGGACGAGCTGTTGTGGCATCCTGCTATGGACGGTCCTCGTCTTGCTTCCGAGGACTGGAGTCCCTTGGTTCCTATCGAGTCCCCTCGGCTCTTGGGTGTCGCCGATGGTCTTTTCCAATACCTTTGCCACATCACTACATTGAGGAATGCCATTCGTGAGAGTGTCTACCGAGGATCTGAGACGGTTGTGAACTACCACATCTTGTATCGGGCACAAGAGATTCAGGAGGCCATCGAGCAGTGGATGCCCATGTGGCCACCAGGCGACAGCAGGCACCGCGTGGGACATGTCTACAAGCACATGATGTTTTTGCATCTGTTCCGCACCATTTATCCTCCCACGTCAGCTGAGAGGAGACCATCCGTGTTTTCCGTGGCAACTTCGATTGCCACGTCGACCTCGTCGTCTTCTTCTCGCCGCCATTCGCAGATCTCGCGTCCATCGACCGCGACGAGCTGTGCGTCGTCCCCTGGACTCAGGCCTTCGACTGCGGCAGGATTCCCTTTGAGCATGCATCTCAAGCGTGATCCCAACTCTCGAGGTCCCTCTAGGACGAGCTCCATGCACGAGTCTGACGCCGGCTCTTCGAGTTGTGCCGTCATCGACGAACAGCGTCCTGCGTCCCCGCCACCCATCCGTCGCCCTCCTCAGCACGATAACCGCATCACTTCAGCTGTTGAAGAGTCTTTGAAAATCATGGAGGGCTTCAAGCCTTCTGATCCTGCCTTGACTCTGCTGCTAATGCCTTGTCTCGTCATCGGAGCGACCTGTTTTGACCCAGCACAGCAGGAGCGAGTCCGAACTGTGGTCCGATCGATCCGTGGCTACACTGGTCTTCGCAACTGCGACCGGGTTCTCGACGTGCTCGAGGAGCTCTGGCGTCTTATGGACTTTGGCGACTGGCTTTCGGTTTGGGATTGGCAGACCGTCGCGAGAAACCAAGGCCTCGACTTCTTGTGCACTTGAGCATCTCACTGGATAAGAGGCCACGCTCAACCACCTCATCGCTACCCATCATCTCTCGCTCACTCTCGGGCACATGCACTGCTCGTATTGCTTTTCCGCCGGTATACCCGTGTGCTGTATTCTCTCGCTATTTTTTCCTCAGTACTTTCATACCATCTATCTGGTCGGCATTCTTGAGGTTGGAGTTATCGGACGAGGCATGTAACGGAGACGACATCATGTACAGGGGGGTCACTGCATTCCACGCTTCATTTAACGGATGGCAGCCGAGGGTGAAGACACTCTCGGGCTGGAGAAGCCAGATTTCAACGGTCGGAACTTGCGGAAAGCATCGGGTTTGGTACTCTTTTGCGTGTCAGCTTGGTTGGACTTGGACTTGGTTATCTTCGGCGGCTTGTTGCTTCATTTGGCGTTTCTGTGTTTTACTGCAACTTGGGAGGTTGGCTCTTTTTTCCACAGTTGGCATATCGTTTTCCACTGTTTTTTCATTTTGGGTAATTGGGATAACAGGCAGGGGATCAGGGGATCGATCTATGGGTGGGCGGCTCGGACAGTGTCCGAATCTGATTTTATTGCACACATTTGTTAGCACATTTGCAAGGAGGACTTCTAGGCAATTGCGTCGTGGGTTCTGCGATGGGAAGGCCCGCGATGCAGATTCAATACACAAGCCGCGCGCAGGGTTTTTTTTTACTGCGCGCCTGTCCTCGACACAATTATTCGCCAATTGCCCTATCACAGTGCCTTGATTACACGCACGTGGCCCATGTTTGCCTGTCATTGAGAGGGGGTCCATCTGCAGATTACCGACTCATTGATGAGCATTCGGTCAAACGTCTCAGGTGGCCGTCTGCCGCGAGGAGGGAACCGAACCGGGGGGCGCAGAATCTCCGCGCGAAGAGACAGACCCTGGGCGGCGGACGGCACGTATCGCGACGTTGGAAGGCGACGAGCCTCACTCAATCGGGCCGGTAGGCCGTTCGTGCATGTCCCGCGGCTTGTGC